GTTCACCTTTTTTGGATGGAAAAATAGAAATCTCTCTTTTGCACTTCTTTCCTTAGGTTTCAGGTTCAGCTCTAAAAGTCTGTTTTCAACGAGAGAGTGGGCTCCCTAACATCCAGCCATCACTCATGAACTGGGATTGAGGGTTTGCTGGGTGAATTCAATTTCCTTACTCCCTTAAGTTGTGAGTTGCAGACTTTGGAGTTAGCGTATGTCTTCTAACTAAACTGAAGTATTCCTATTTTTAATTCTGGTTGAGGAGTTAGGCCACTGGTTCTTTTGGGCAGTGCCTTTTCATTGCCAGATTTAATTTGCTTTTTTAAAGAATAAGGAGGGAAATTCGTTCCTTGTTCCATCTGTTGTTTTTCCTAACAAGTGCAAAGCTATTTGTGATGTGAAAGTAAATATATCATTTCTTCTTCTGAGGCTTTGATTTGCAGGTCTTTTTAAAGAACGGTTTCCTGTTTTACAGTTAATTGAAACCATCTATACCCTGCCAGAAAACTGGTCAGGCTTTAAAAGAAGCAACTGCTTTGCCATTTCTGAGGGTGCCTTTTCAGAAATTGTGTACTCTGCTTGTTCTAAAATGTGGTGAAGTTTTATGAACAAGAGAAGTTCAGTAGCCTTCTCTGTATTTGCCACCGATAAAGTGACTGCCTTTTTTTAGAGTGCCTTGGTGATTTAAACGAAGTGGTTGTTTCCTTAAAGATCTTTCTATTCTAAAGCTGATAATAGGGAGAGAAATTAGGTCCTGTATGAAGTAGCTGTTTTACAGGACATTTTTCTTCTGAGACTTCCTTCTGGTTTAAGCAAAATAAATTAATCTCCTTGGTTTGGGGTCGTTTTTTGGCTTTGTTTTTTTTTTTAGCAGTTGATAATTAATAAAATTAACTTATTTTTGGGACCGTTTGTATCTAAAAGATACAAAAAGTATAGGTATAATAAAAAGAAGGTAGATGGTTGTGAACAATTAATTATTTTTATAAGGGTTAAATCTATGTGGATCTTTAAGCATAATCAGTGTCTCATAAATATTGCTCTGCAGAATTGCCATTAGGAGCTGGAGAATGAGGAAGACTTTGTATTTGGGTAGAAAATAAGGAGAATTTTTTCTGAGCTACTCTTCCCTTTGGGGCCCACTGAATGTGAAGTAAGTAGTTTCTGACAAGGAATCCGGTTTTGTTTTAAAAGTGATTTTTGAAGAGAGAATCTGTGTTGTGCTGTTCCTTGTTCGTGATTGTACCTACGTGAAGTAAATATGTTCTTCATTCATTCAACTCACTTGTAAGACTGCTGACATGCTATATAGAGAAGAGTTTCCCTTTGAGTTTCGGGCAGTGCTGGCTAAAAACTTTAAGATTGTGTTTTTCTCCTGTTTTCAAGAGAGACACCCTTTTCCCTCTGTGCTTTCCTCATGCAGTCCCCTGATTTGTCTGTTCTGGTTGCAGGAATAGGCAGTGATAATTACTAAACAAATAAGTGGTTGGCTTTTTTTCTTTCTGTTTTCAAAGGACATCTACAAAACAGCTTAGCTAAGATACTGCTTTAGTTGGGACCTGTGCAGTTTGCAGATATCCACTGTGTATCTGTTTCTTTGAGTTTACTTTGTGACATTAAACTTTTTCAAAATAAAAGCAGGCAATTAAAAGTGTGAGATTTCCATGTATTGGTGATCTGCAGCTGTGTATTCATATTTCCAGCTGTTCATCCAGAGTTTCTTCAGTGTTTCGTAGTGGCTATTGCAGCTGTCAGTGGTGTGCCAAAGCTTTTTCAGGTGTCCTTAAGGAAACTGTTGTTGGAACTTGGTAGAGCCTTAGACAATAAAATCTGTTCTTTCAGGGCATGTTAATTAAGGATGACAATAAGCAGACTAACTTATGTTGTATTCTAATATTATATAACCTAGTTTGCTAAGTCTACTTTTATGTGTCGTCATTGCATTTTCTTGATCTAAGGTCTGTTTGGCTGCTTTTAACCTGGAGGCTCATCTAACTCATCCGTTTAGGTTTCACCCCTTCTGTCTTCTAACTCATTCGTTTAGGTTTCATGCCTTCTGTCTTCTAAAATACCTGATATCTAAGGGAAAGTCTTCATGGATTTTGTTGTAGGTTTGTTTTGGTTTTGTTTAGTTTTTTTTCCAGCCCCTGAGATAAAGGGGCATATTGTAACATCAGTTGGCAGAAAGAAGATGGGAACTGGACCAGTATTACCCTGCTTTTCCCTGCCTTTTTGTAGCTTATACGAAGGTATTGTAGCTCACTGTAACTGTAGAGCTGCCAGACTGTTACCCTAGGGATGTAGCAGCTTTATGGACAGAAATGTAAAAGCTTGTTTAGGCTCATCTTGTTCCAGTATTTTTTCTGGCCACAGTGTGTGTACTGAGTAGTAGACAATCTCTGGCACTGATTTAGTGTGCTATTCATTATTTCAAAGCTGACAAGAAGGGGAAGACAACAAGAATGTCATTGTTAATAGTGTTCTGATATAATAACAAGACATCTTTTCTGCGAAGAGCGGAGGTGTAGCATCAGCAAACTGCCAAAGCCAGGCAGGTAAAGATTAATTTATTGTGTTTTAACATTAGTGGTGGAAAAACACTCTATAGCATAGGAGCAGGATGTGTGTCAGGGATGTGGAAACTGCATTCACAGTCATGTCAAAAACAGTCTTTTAAGTTGGGCCAGGTAGCTCCTTGGTCATATGGGAAGGTAGGTAGTGCTCTTTTGAATTCTAGAATACTCATTTCAGTGTTTCATTTCTGTGTAAATTACTTCTATTTGCTCCTTCAAGAGTCTTCTAAAGATTCTAAGGTAGAAAAATTTGATTACTTAGGAGTTACTGAACTTGTACTGTGACTTTTGATTCTTTTGTTCAGAATTAATGATGAAGGCACAAATAATTTATTGTGAAGAACTTAGTAATTTGTCATTCACTTTTTTTAATTTGAAGATGAGAAAGGGAGAAGGTCATTAGAAAAATATTTCTAGAAGTGTTCTGTATAACACTAGGTGTTTCAGAACCTGTTGAAAGAAGTAGTTGATCACTGCTCAGGTGATTGTGTGATCATCTTGTAGAATGGAATGGATTTAAATACATAGAACTGCTTGTCTTACTGGTGAATGATCTGTTTTTCATTCTAGAAGGTACTATGTTTGAATCGGAGGAGATAAGACTGTTGTAGAGCTGTTATCAAAATGGAGTCTGTTTTCCTCAGTAATTTTGCAATGCATGTCAAGCTCAGCCTCTTGAATGAGTCATAGTTTTGAGTATATAGAAAACCAGCAAACAAACAGAACAAAATCACAGAACGTGAAATATTCTGCTATCACAGCAAAACCTTCTTCATTGCCAAATCAGTAAAATAATAGTTTGTTCTGTTGTATATTTTGCTTTCTTCCAGCCTCCAGGTAGGTAGCTTCTGTGAGCTGTTAAATTTTAATTGATCCCATTGTAACTCCTGATTCCCAGCTTCCTGCCTTGCCTTAGTTGGTGTTTGGATATTGCTGTAGGTTTGTTCTGCCTGGGCTGGCATAGCAATACATTAGAGAATTATATTTGGCTTCTCCAAGTCCCTCATGACAACCCAATGTTCTGCCCTGTTGCCGTCAAATGTTACACAGCTATGGTAAGGACTCAGAGCTTATCTTTCTAAAATACTTGGTAAGGTTTTTCCACTACCTGGAAATACTTCAAATGAAGCAGGTTCAGCCAGCTGGCTGTCTTGGGCAGAGTAAGGTAGAGATAAGGTAGATATAGATATAAGATATAAGCCCAGTTTGGCGTGGCATGAAGGGACTTGGAGAAACTAAATTAGCAGTTAAGAAATTGTGCTTCCTTTCACCAGGTGCTTGTAGTTCTGCACAGATGACAAAAGTATAATTGAAGAAACCATCATAGACATGGTAGAAAGAACCCACTTGATGTGAAAAATCTAACCCAAAACACATACCACCCGATGCCGCAGAAAATTTCCTTGAGCAATTGTTTATTTTGGCCAGGTTAAATTACCTAAATCACTGGCTTCCAAATGTCTTCAAGAAGCTAACACTATGTATCTAGACCCGAATTCCTCAGGCATAACAAATATTGTCCATAATAATACAGAAAATAAGATCAAATGTCTAATATCTTGTTATTTAAAGAGTAATTTTTAATAAATTACTTTAAAGAGAATTTTTAATAAATTATGAGATTTCATTTTAAAACTTCCACTGATTTTTTAAAAATATGACAAAAAACTTTTTAAAAGCTGTGTGTCTTGTAAGGCCATAGTTGTTACAGTCTTGTTGGTTTTGCAGATTGTCTTAAACTGTCAGCTAATTATCCTTTCTCCTGTGTGGGTAAGTATGGCTCAAATACCAGGTTATTTTAAACAATGGGAGAATCCCCTGCCAAATGCACAGTTTTCAGTCTGGTCCCTGCAGATGCTATGTTTAATTCCCTGCCTGCTATACCAGGCAAAGATAGTCAACAAATTATCCAGGCAACTGTGTGCTAACAAATTCTTATGCTGGTATACAGATCAAGCAGTAAAAGCAATCTAATTTCAGCCTCACTCAAAATGGTATCAAGATACTGCGTGTTTTTCACTGTAGGAATGTCACTCTTCTACTTGAATTTTATGCTGGAAGGAGTGACATTTTTTCTTTTTGCCTGGGATGCTACTTCCATTTTTTTTCTGTGACGAAGATCTTTTTTTTTTTTCTTCTTCTTCTTCTTGTAGGTTGAAAGAAGAAAAAAGAGAGACCTGCTTTTCCAATGAAGATGCAGTCTTAGTCTTCAGCTATTTAAGCTGAATGCATTGTGATTTCCAATAATTGAGACAGTGATTCTGAAAGCTGTCTACATTAATGAAAAGAACAATGTAGTCAGCTTAACTGAATCATCAGTGTTGCATATTGAATAGAACATGATAAGCCAATCTTGATGGACTTATGCATGTTAGGAATATAGATATAAACATTTATTAGAGCATTGTTTTTTTAAAAAAAACAGTTTTAGAAATGGAGAAATACGAACATGTACCACCCCTCCCTAAAGAACCTGCAAGAGAAATGAATGTGGAGAATCATACTTGTCCCCCACCTCTGCCGCCTAATGAACAGCCTCCACCACCTCCCCTGCAAACGTCCAGTGACGCAGAGGTAATGGACGTTGGCTCTGGTGGTGATGGACAGTCAGATACCCCTGCTGGGGACACGCACAGTATCTGCAGAACACAGCTTCTCACAAAGGGATCTACCTGCTACAAAAGTCGTCTTATAATAGACCCTAACAATAGTGACCAAAGCCCAAGAACTGCTCGTCATGCACCTTCAGTTCGAAAGTTCACCCCAGATCTTAAGTTACTTAAAGATGTAAAGATTAGTGTTAGCTTTACAGAAAGCTGCAAAAGCAAAGATAGGAAAGTTCTGTACACTGGAATTGAGCAGGATTATAAGGCAGATACAGATTTTGGTGTTAATAATGTCAATGGGGATTTGCATGTTTGTCCTTTTCGTGGTAGTAATGGTAAAGCTGTAGGAATAGGAGGTGAAAATGATGACAAGAAGGATGATGAAAATGATATTGATCAGGAAAAGAGAGTGGAATATGCAGTTCTGGATGAGCTAGAAGATTTTACCGACAATTTGATGGAAATAGATGAAGAAGGAGGAGGATTCACATCTAAAGCTATCGTTCAAAGAGATAAAGTGGATGAAGAAACCTTGAATTACTCATATGAGGTAAGTAAATCCACAGGCTTTTGGTGAGTAAGAGTTTTTCTAGCCAAGTGGCTAGAAAAAAATACACAAAGATGTTCACTGAAACAGTCACTTCTAGAAATATGCAGTATTTGAGTCAACAATGCAGGCTTTTCAAAGAAAGAACTTTGGCTGAAAACTTCTGTAAATTATCTGGTTAGATTTCTGAGTTGTGTGTCAGCTTCTATAGTCTTGTTTAAAAATAACATTTAAAAGGCTTCTTACACAATTGCAGCTTATTTTATAATGAAAAATACCAGTTCTCACTTACAAAAACTTATTTTCTTATTTTTCAGTCTTTTTACTGGGATCACTGGAAATTTCTTGTTTCTCTCAGTATGGAAGTGCATAGAGAAAATTTATACTTTGTGAGGGGAAAGGGAGGTCAGTAGACCCAGAAGGATAGTGTCTGATAAAGTCTCTTTCAGGATGACTTTGATAATGATGTGGATGCTCTGCTGGAAGAGGGTCTTCGAGCACCCAAAACAAGGAGACTAGACAATGAGAAATATGGTGGTGAAAGTGATCACCAATCTGATGGAGAAACAAGTGTGCAGCCAATGATGACCAAAATTAAAACTGTACTTAAAAGTAAGTGAATGTTAATTAGTGAACAAGAACGATCTGCTTTTTGTCTCCAGTCCTGTGAAACAGCTGAAGACTGTTAGTGATCATTGTGAATTTCTTCCTACTGGAGTTATATAACTTATGTTGTTGAAATTGCTGTACCTGGAGTGTTTATGCATGTAATACTATGTTAAAAAAAACATTATGAAAGTCACTGGCTTAGATTTTTTAAGTTTCATTGTGTAACTATTATAAGCCACTAATAAGGAAGAGCTGAGAATGTGAACCAGTCTGGAAGAATGTAACTGAAAATAATCAGAATTAAAATTTGAACCTGCTGTAGGGGGATATTTTCCAGCTTCACTATATTTTAAAATAAGAAACCAGACAGCTTTTCTCTCTGAAAAAACATAGGATTGCCAGGAAACACCCAGCTAAGATGAGTCAGGTCTCTGATTTGTGATGTAGAGAGGAGTGAGACCATTCTCTGATTTCTGGAGTAGAAAGGAATGAGACTATGTATTATTAACTTGACTGCAAGCATAAGCAGTTTACTACAACATTGATTTTTTTTTAGCAGAAGAAGATTCACTGGTGAAATGAACAAAGCAGTGTATAAAAATTAATGCTATTATTGCTTTTCAGTTGAAAACATACCAAAGTCTGTAATTTTGCAAGATTTAATGTGCGTTAGAAGCATAAACCTTTTTAATAAAGCAGAACAAAACCTTTTTACAAAGCTTTTTTAGTCTTGTTTCAGTGTCATTTTATCCTTTGAGACAGAAAGAGCAAGAAAAATTAAACTTTGATTCTTTTTCTGTTCTTCTAAGCAGCCTATCCAAGCTTAAAGCCATTCTTTGCTTTAAAGGTCGTGGCCGCCCTCCTACAGAACCTTTGCCAGATGGATGGATCATGACATTCCATAACTCAGGCATTCCT